CGTGCGCGGCCCGATCTGACCGGCTGGGGTGAGGGTGCTCCGCCCGCTCGCCGCCGCCGGCGCCCTGGACCGCCGATCGGCCGCCGCCAGCGTGCCCGACTTCTGACAGTTCTGCAAAGAGGTACTGGAAAGGGGGCTAGAATGTAGGCAGCGCACCGGAGGGCCGAGGCTGGGGTGTAGCAGCACACCGGAGGCCGAGGCCTGGGGTGTAGCAGCGCGCCAGAGGCCGGGGCTGGGGGTAGCACATCACACCGGAAGGTCGGGGCTGAGGATTGTAGCAGGCACGCACCGGAGGCTGAGGGCTGAGGTGTAGCAGCGCATCCAAAGCCGTGGATGGGTGAGCAGCACACCGGAGGCCGGGCTGGGTGTAGCAGCTCACCGTAGGCCTGAGGCTGTGGGTGTTCATCGACCGGAGGCCGGTCTGGGTGTAGTCATCGCACGGATGCTGAGGGCTGGGATGTAGTCATCACCGCAGTCGCGTACTGGGGTGAAGCAACACACCGGGCTGTCATTGAAGTGCGGGGCGACATTTGCTCGGACTTCAAGGCTGGAAATACTGCATTGTATTCCATAAAATGTCAGTGCAGTAAGGCGGATCATGAATGAAATAGAAACGGACATTGGAAATGATACCAGTGGATGAAATGAATGAAAGAATGGGCGCAGTGGCGCGATAGAACCCAAGAGGTGGGGTGTGCCGCGTCTGAATATTGGCTGGTGTTATGTTAGGCTTAAACAAATGGGCCTTTTTATAATCAAATGGGCCAAAGTTATCCCGATTTCAGGTCAGGTTGAGTTTTCCTAAATTCCACAAATGCATTACTGTTTCAAGTTCAGTATATATCAGTGAAATCTTTGTCTCGCAAACGTGCATACAAAAGTCTAGAATATTCTAACTTAGGTATCTTGCTTTTTAGACATACCGTTTTAAGGAAGTCGGTCAAAACGACCTTTCCATTTTTTCTCGTTGAATATGGTATCTAGTCCTGGACTGACTTCACCATTGTAATTGTCTAAAGATAAATATATAACAAAAGGGATGTATATGGTGAAATCCTCCCGCAAATTACATTTTTTACCACTTGGGTCTCACGATGACCCATAATTGTCGCTGGCAAATTATTCGTTCCTAAGTTTTTGTCCCGGGCAAAGGACAAACCTCTTTTATAATGCCCACCTTGCTCTCAGTCGTAGGGAGGCTGCTTTGTTAAGAAATGGCGACTGTGCCCCCAAGAACTGACCAATCAGCTCCTTGTAACCTTAAACTGTTCCGTATGCCACATGCCAACTGTTCCGTATGGCCACATGCAACACTCCTGGCACTAGTTTTCCCTAAAATCCCAAAACTTGGCACGTTGTAACGCTTCGTAGTTTCTAAATGACATGGAAACATGTTGGTGCTGAAAGCGATAGGCAGCGAGTGGTGTTTTGCTAAGTTGACGCTTTTCAAGCTCGCGTTTTCACCGGAACGCTATGGAAAACAACCTCGATGTGATACAATGTATTTCCCGTAATATACGTCATATTCTATTCCTGTAAAAAAAAACCTGTCATGGATAAAGAACCGGCGCAACGTCTGAGCGATGCAACTTTTTGAAGTGCCCAGCCAGTCAGAAATCGGTCAAAAATACGTGGAACGTAAAATGTGTTTATCAGCATTAGGTCACTCAGCGTTCACCGTGGATCAGTCCGGTACCCTGCGGGGTAAAAATTTCATTCAACGCAACATTTTTTGGTGAGAGTAGATAAAGATCACAGTAGAATGTCAAGGATGATCGCACACACGCGCATCAAACCCCTGAGAGTACGATCCTCCGAATTTACTGCGAGACGGTCTTGAGCGTGGTCACTGGCGCCTCGCACCTGTGAGTTCAAGCAACATCCAACAAGTTGAAGGCTGCTGTCAGGACTTCTGTGGTACCGGCACCTGGGCGCTCACAGCATTAATTTAGCTGGGGAGAGGATTACCTGGAGTACCGTCCGACGAGGCCGCGGCTTAGAGTGCTCGACCCTCCAGTCTACAAACCTGAGGCTCGCTCGGAGGTGTGAGCGGGGCTACCCCCACCGGCTGGCACGCGCATCCGTGTCAGCCACTGGCAGGAAGCCTCGGCCGCGTGAAATCGGTCAGCGAAAGTGGGTCAGACTTCAGAACTGGGTATGCGTGAAGACACGGCCACTTTCCGGAGGCCGCCTCACCGCAACAGCGTTTCACCACGATCAGCACTTTGTTTGCGCTCCAGAGCTGGCATTAACAATTTCGATAACAATTTTGTACGATACAGTAGTGCATGGTGTCGCGAAACGTCGTACCCTTGAAACATGTTTGTGGCAAAACTATTTTTCGGGGACAAAATTACTACGGGATCGTTACATGCCTCGTTGCATGCCATGTATCCTTACATGCCTGGAGAGTTATGGAACGTCCCAAAAACTCATTGGGAAAGTTACTTAAAATAAAAGTGTGCTTTTTGGCAAAAGGCTCCATTCAAAAGGTTTTTGGGATGTGCGAAAGTAGTTTTGACCGTTGTGTTTAGGATTAATGGAACTAGTACAAATGCCAACGCCATGACCCGGGGTAAAAACAAGCGACCTAGGGTGAACTCTACAAGGCGAGGATAAATTTGCATGCAAAGGGATAAGATCGGCCCATTTGGTTTATTGCATTTAGCTCCATTCATTCATTCATTCATTCATTCGTTCATTCATTTGGTTCTTGCGTTTTTTGCAGTTGCGTTTCCGAACTCACACATTGCGAACATATTGCTTTGATGCGGTTCTGTTGCTGTAGGATGTAAAATGTCGAGTTAAGTGGCCCAACACATGTCATCAAAGCCATTGGCGTCCGACGCCTTTCGTGCTGTCATTCTCATTCCCGACAGCACGTCCGCAAAGCAGTCACTGTACGCGGTTAATGACGTCACCTCTCCACGTCCGTGCGCAAACTTGAACCCCGTTTGTCACACGGGTGATGCGCGACTGTATCACCTGCTGACTGCGCCACCCGCCACACAGCGCCACGGCGGCGGTGCCGAAGTCGCCGCCGCGGGTGAGCTCGTGGGAGGACGACGACAACGCGGTGATACCCATGATCCCCGACCTGGAGGTGGTGCAAGAGGAGGATCTGGCTCTGCAGGTGGCCGCCGCCCCCATGTGAGCACCCCGCCCCTGTACTCCGTGCACGCCTGCATGACTAAGGTAACCCACTGCGTGTGGTGGAAGGGCAGAGCAGGAAGCGATCCGTGCCATGCCAGCCGCTCCACAGAGGTCGTCGCCCTCGAATGATGCAACGCATATACGGGTGTATGCTTATAGGCCGGGGCCGGGGGAGGGGGGGGGGGGGGGGGGCTATGTGTGTGCAGTTCCCACGGGCGGCTGTATTACGATTTGGCTTCATTCAATGACGATCACAGACCTTAAGTTTGATGATGTGGTTTTTGTTGGCCTACCGAAAGTTGGGCTGAGTATGAGCCAGGCCAGCACGTCCTCGTCTCCATGTTTGTCGATACTCGTGGAGTTTTGTGTTGTATCGGTCTCCATTTCGTGCCGTTCATCTCCAGCGTCGTGCGGCTGACGGTGTAATCGGTGCTCCTTGTTAGTGTAATCAGTGCTCTTTGTTAGTGTCGCCAGCGCCGCGGCCTCTTGTCACCGGTGCCCGATCACAGCGCGCTCTGGCGGCGGTGCCGACAGGTCACGGGTCAACCGGGTGGTCACCATGCAGGAGCTGAACGATGACCTGTTCAAGCACCCGACGTTCATGGCTTTGGAGGACATTGACCTGCAGCTGCTGACCAACAGGCTGTCCGAGCTGGCCGACGTACAGGAGGTGTGTGCCAGACACTTCGGGCGCGGGAGGCGCTGTGTCGGAGACAGGAGACTGGTTCGCGATAGGTGGGCCTGGGGAGTCGACACTCGTCAAGCCAGCAACGCATTTGTATTCGATGGTGTGTGGATATTTCGGACTACGTGGATTTCACCAAACTTGGTGTGCGGATGGAATTTCACACGCTAATTTAAAGAGACGGCACGAAAGAGCGAGGCATCTGTAACATCAGGTTAATCGGGTTGTAGTTCCCGGGTCCTTCATACAGAGCACAGGTCAGTAGGAGTAGTCGGGGGCTGTGGGACATCGTTAGCTAGAGACACCAAATTCATGGGATGTCTGTGCTTGAACTCAGTTTAACTGTTCTAAGCGTAACTTTACTGGTTCTCATTCAAGGCTAGTGATCTTGTTTGATCTTAAGAAGGTCATTTTGATCAGTCATACAAGACTCCTTTGGTGGTTGCATTTGGATAAGCCCCAGCAATGACGCTAAGTGGTATGCTCCTAAACCAACATGTTAAACTGGGCCCTTTCAGGTCAGTGACTGAATCTGGCCACTAGGAACTGCGGTGAGGATGTGTAATGCGGTCCGTGTTTTTAATGAATTCAAAATGAGCACCGGAAACTGCCCCACTCAGCAAGCTCTTGAGTAAAAAAACGGGGTGGCTTTGACCTAGGTCTTACCTTCATACCTGACCCAGATCAATGCAATTTGTTAATTCAATCGTTGTGTTGCGTAAGAAACTATCTCAGAGATGGACGGCCTCGTCTAGCACTCCGTTGTTGCATCTGATTCAGCGATTCCCTCACAAATTGCCGTCACTGAATCCATGGCCTGACTTTGACCTGCGATCAAAAGGAGCATCTGAATTTTTTTTACATAAAAAGATCTGCTATTCAATTGTCTACAGCTATGCAAGACCTGACGAGGCAACGCCGCGCTGTTTGGGAATTATTCTGGAAAAGGTTACGAGGGGGGGGGCAAATTTACCTTCACACACACACACACACACACACACACACACACACACACGCACGCACGCACGCACGCACGCACGCACGCACGCACGCACGCACGCACGCACGCACGCACGCACGCACGCACGCACGCACGCACGCACGCAGATATATATACACATATATATATATATATATATATATAATTCCTTTTCAACCGTATTTTAGGTGGGCCGATCCTGACTGTAGTGCAATGCCAGGCCAACCCGCGGTAGGGCAGGAGCAAGCTCCAGAAACCCCGCCAAATTTCAAAAATCAGTTTAATATTCTGGTCCCCATGTAGGGGACGCATCAGATATTAAGCTGATAAGAACAGAGTTTTTTATTCATCATAGTACATGTTTAATAACAAGGAATATTGGAGAAAGAAAAACGCATGCGCTCCAGACCCTGAAGCGCATTTACACGCGACACGATGTTTAACAGACTCACAATATATGCTCAACCCCACGGCATGGCACAGCGTGCCGCCAGTGGGGTGGGACGCTGGCTCACCTCCCTCCCCATGGTGGGCAGGGGTGGGGGCAGGCCGTCGGCGGGGGCCGCATCCGGCCCCGTTCAACTGCATTGATGCAGCCACACAAGAACACACCGCGCGGTGATACCGCCCAGGCACACGGCGAACGCTCCGCGCCGACAAGGATTACAGGATCGCAGCAGCAAAGGGACGGTATGCCGTCGGCGACCCCACCGCGGCCAGGCGAGCCGGCCGCGGACAGGTCGCCAAACCTGCGCCGCCCCGAAACGCAGCGCCAGCCGGGGGCCGCTGATCATGGTACAGCAGCGGCCCAAGCAAAACTGCCGCCAGACGGGACGGCCGTGGTCACACACGGCACAGGGACATGGGCAGGGGAGGGGAAACCCACAGCCGGCCGGCCAGCCAAGGGGAGGGGCGGGGGGCTACAAAACACTGGGGGACGGGGAGGGGCGGCAGGCCGGCCGGCGGCCCATTGGTAGCTGCGGCGGCCCGGCGGCTCAGCAGCCGGCAGGCGGGGGGGCAACCCGTGACGCCCCGAGACGGAGAGCGACGCCGCTGAGGAGGACGCCGCGATGGTGGAGGCGGTGAAGGCGGGCACCCTGACGTCACAGCGGCCACGTGCGGTGGCCACTGATCACTGGTATTGGCGGACCCCGGTGACGTGCTCCACGTACATGTCCCGGGACCACCGCAGGGTGTCGCTCACCATGAGCTTACGCATCAGTCGGGCGTACACCCGGCTGACACGCAGGTGGCGCAGCGTCTCCTCGTTGCCGCGGTACCAGGTGCCGAGCGAGCCAATCACCAGGGCATGCACGGAGGCATCCCTGCCCTGGCGTCGGAGCTCGGCCACCAGGCCCGCGTACTCGGCCACCTTCTTGTCGCCGGCGGCTCGCAGGGCAGCCAGCCGGTTCTCAAACGAGACTGTGACGTCCACAAGAGATACGTGGGCGCCACGGGTGACCACCAGGCCAGGCCGAAGGGCCGACTCGGTTCCGGGCACACGGCGGTTCACCCGCACGTCGGTGCCGGCAAACCGAGGCACGGCCCTCTCCTGGCGCGCCAGGATGGCGTTGTGACGCCGCTGCAGCGCCGCGCCGTGGGGCCGGCAGTGGTTCAGCACGTGCGGCAGAGTCTCCTTGGCATAGCCACAGCGTCGACAGCGCCGATCACCGGCGCCGCGACGGTACCCGTTGAGGGGCACGAGACCGAGCCAAGCACGGTGCACAAACCGCCACTCGGCAAACCGGGTGAAGCTCCCGTTATAAACATAATGGGAGCTCACCGGCTGAGACGCCACACGCTCCATCACCCGTCCCTGATGGGGCTTGGCGACCAGGTCGCTCAAAGCCCGCATCCGCAGAGCGTTGCGGAGCGCCTTGCTCTCGCCGCGCGCCTCCACCGGGGTGGGGCCGACGCGCAGCTCCGGGACGGGATGGGCGGCGTGCCACGCCACGGGCACAGGCGAGGCGAGGGCCCGGGTGGCGACACGCGCGCGGCTGAACCGCGATGAGACATCACCGCCGTCGCGCATGCGCTCGCCATTCAAGTAGGCGGCCATGTCGGCCGGCGTCGGCGGCCGGCCGACCCTGCGGCTGACGACGCGGGTGAGCTCGGCGGCGGCCAGCTCGGCGACCAGCGGGTCACGCGAGCGCAGCAGCTGCACGCTGGCGGCCGGGAGAAGTACATCGGCCTCGCTGCCCAACTCCGTCGGGCCGACGTCGCCCGTGGACGACGGCGCGTACAGTTAGCCGTTGGTGGCACTCAACGGCATGCCCAGCACATCCTTGACGCGCCACCGTAGCGCCTTGTCAAAGGCACGCAGGGGCGTCTTGGGCAGCACGCCCAGGCGCAGGCAGTGCGTCAGCCGCGGCGCGATGAACGTGCGCACGGCGTCAAGCTTCTGCCAGGGCGCCAGGGCGCTGTCCAGAAGGCGGAACGCATCGCGTCGGGTGGCAGCGAGCACGTCCAGGGGCGGCTCCGAGAGCCGGGTGTGGCCCACCGGACGGCCCAGGTACCGGTACGAGCACGCGCGTTCCACCACCGGCAAAGGCGCGCCGTTGAGTGGCACGGCGGGCGGAGCGGCTCCCACCGACAGCAGGCCTGACTTGCGCAGGTTGAGCTCCAGAGAGCACCACCCGCACACGGCCTCAAGCACCCGAAGGGCCGGAGCGACGGCAGCAGCTGACGACAGAATCAACGCCAGATCGTCAGCGTAGGCCAGGCAGCGCACCTCCGACTGGCGGAGCGTGCTCAGCACCGGCTCCATAGCAATGTATCAGGACGTATCAGATATTAAGCTGATAAGAACAGAGTATTCGTTCATCGATGTGCACTTTGACCTTCCATTAAAACGCAGTAAATAGCACGGATGGCACAGTGGGCTGGTGGGGTGAAAACGTAGCCACACCGCTTCAACAGGCGATCCACAAATTGTCCGCCAATAGCGTCTTTTCTTTTGGACTGTTGAAGATCGTGAGTCAGAACTTTGACGAACACAGCCATCTCTTCTATGCACCATAGCACACAGCCCGCGGCATCATATTTGCCATAACAGCCTGGCATCGCTGCATCGTTCGAGTTCCGCCACGGGAGATATCCGGGCAGCCGTCCGCCGTCAGCGCGCCGGCGCCGGCCCCTCAGCGAAACGGGCACCCTGGCGCCCAGTGGCCGCGCCGGCCGCACACGTAGTAGCGGCCGTAGCCGCCGTAGTAGGCGCCGGTGCCATCCACGGAGGCGTCCGAGTTGCCCGAGTCGCTCGAGCGCAGGTCGTGCGCCCACGTGGTGAAGCTAAAATCACTGTCGTTCTCGCTATCCACGCCGGCCGACTGCGAACTGGCGCCGTCCTCTGTGTCCAGGTCGCTGGCAGCGCCGCGATGGCCTTCGTTACTCGAGCTCGGGCCCCGCACTGTGCCGCTGTCGGCCGAGGCGCCGCCCTCCCGCTCGTCCGAGTCCCGACCGACGCCGCTCGACTCAGAGTCACTGCGGCTGCGCGACTCCGCCGAGTCGGAGCTGAGATCGTGCGTCGTCGCGTCCGAGTTCGAGCAATCTCCACCGCCGGCGGCTGACCCGGAGTCACGCCGCGAGCGCGAGTCTGTCGAGTCCGAGTTGCGGTCGTAGTCAGAGTTGGCCTCGGTCCGGCTGGCGGCGGCGGAGCGCTCGCTGGCCGTCTCCCAGTCATGCTCCGAGTGCCGCGAGCCGTCAGGACTGGCCGGTCCGCCAGCAGGCCAGGCCACTGCCTGTGCTGCAGGTAATAGGCTGTGTCGTCGATGACGATGGGGTGGGAGGGATTGGCGCCGGCCGCCAGCGCCGTCGTCAGCGCCGCCCGCCAGCGTTTCGTTGTTGATATTAGCCGGCTGGCGACCGGCCTGCGCGGACCGGGCCCGGCCGCGCGCCGCCGCCGCTGCCCCTCTGCCAGCCCGGCCGGCGGCGGCGGCAGTGGCGCGCGTCCGGAGCGGCGTGGCGCCGCGGAAACCACCGCGATTGGCCTGCTGCTGCTGCTGCTGCTGTTGTCGCCGCCGCCACTGCTGCTGTTGCTGTCGCCGCTGCCGATGTTGCTGCTGCAGCTGCTGGCGCTGCTGCTGGTGCCGCTGGCGCCGTCTGGCGGCGTGACCTCCGCGCGCTGCTGGCGCCGGCCGTGCCGCCGCCGCCGCGCTCGCCTCGCGCTCGTGGCGCACGGTGGCGCGGTGCTCGGCCGCCTGGCCGCCTAGGCGCGCCACCATGCCGTCGATGAAGTTGTCCAGCACGAGACTGCGCGTACGTGACGTCACTGGCTCGCGGCAGATGGGGCAGCTGGGGCGATGCTTGGTCCAGTCGTTGATGCACGACGCGCAAAACGTGTGCGTGCAGCTCAGCGTGAGCGCGTTGAAGAAGAGCTCGAAGCAGACGCTGCAGGTGAGCTCGGCGTCCATGAGCTGGTCGAAGCCGTCCAGCACCGACTGGCGGGCGGCCAGCTGCTGGCCGCATGCCGCCTCCTTCTCGCGCTCCATCGCGGCTAGCTGGGTCTCGAGCAGCTCACGCTTGGCGTCGAGCGCGCCCAGCTGGGTCTCGATGGCGGCGCAGCGGGCCTGCATGTCGGCTGCCGTCTGCTGACGCTCCTTGTTAGTGGCCAAAAGCTCCTCTTTGAGCTGGTGTTCGATGGTGTCGCGCCGCCGACCGCAGCGCGAAGCGTCAAGGTCGACCGGTGTTTACCGGGGGCGCCGCCGGCTCAACGGACCGGAACGGTGGCGTGAGGCGCCGCCGGCTCGACGGACCGGGACGGTGGCGTGAGGCGCCGCCGGCTCAACGGACCGGGACGGTGGCGTGAGGCGCCGCCGGCTCAACGGACCGGGACGGTGGCGTGAGGCGCCGCCGGCTCGACGGACCGGAACGGTGGCGTGAGGCGCCGCCGCCAGAGGACGAGTGAAGACGCGGGGTCGGTGGAGGTCAACATGCGGCTGCTGCTACGCGCTGGCGCAAGCTTGGCAGGGCGTCTGCTGGGTCACGGGAAATTCACAGGAAAGGTCACAGGAGAGTACATGGAGCTAGTGAACGAGCCGAGGTGGCGCCACCGTCGCGTCCACGTGGTGGGGCTGATGCCGGGTTTCACGGCTCATGTGGCCCATGATGTACACACCCACCCAGCTGTTTTCGTCGCAGTCACATGCACGGCTTTTTGGAGTCAGAGTTACGTCCCTGGGTGGCACCTCTCACCGAAGGCTACTAGTGGAGTCGTTGAGGCCCCTGGGACGTAACGAATGGTTCAGAGATCTGGGCTGTCCTGGCCTGTGGCCAGCCAGCCCTCCAGCCATCCCGCAGTGTTGGTGCGAGCGGGTGGGCAGGCGGACACGATGGCGACGGCAACACTGACCGGGCCGGGGGAACTATGAGAAGTTCCACTTGTTAAGGGGAGCCATCTGTTGTTCTCGGGAATTGACCGGTGAAACTGTATCTACACACCAAGTCCCATAGACGTCCGACGAATGTGAGGCTGAGTGTATTGCGGGGGTGAGAGTTTCTGGGGGGGGGGGGGATGGGCATGTGAACAGACTATGTCGGAGACTGCTGTAGTTTACGGGGAACGTGTCTGGCAGTCTGGACGCATTATCGTGTCCGTTTCGGAGGCTGGACCACCGAGCAGGTCGCGGATGAAGGCTCGCGGCCGTGGGACGACGGAACGGGCAAAGTGCAGGGGAAGACGCAGCGGCATCGCCCCATCTCACGGCCGCCTCCATCTCGCGGCTGCAGGTAGACAAGCCGTGGGTCTGGGACGTGCTCTTCACGGAGGTGCTGTCGGAGGTGCAGGACGAGGCGAGCGACGAGGAGGCGGCTGTGGAGCTTCTCACGCCCAAGGCAAGCCGTCGTCCGTGCCGCCGCGCGCCGCCGCGTCGCTGCGGCGGCGCGACTGCATGGCGCGAGCTGCCAGTGCAGTAGGCGCCGTGTAGTGCGGGACCACGTGTCGCACACTAGGGAGACCGGATGCACTATCTAGTGTCGACTGTCAGGTGCCGTAGCTGGCACTGCCGTGCAGCTCGTGATGCGTGCGTTTGTAGACTGCTGCTGCTGGTCCACATGTGGTTGTCGTCGTAGCCACTCCGAACTCGTAATGTGGAGACACGCTTCTTGACTGCGCACCTCTGTCACTTACTGCATTTATTTCTGACTGTCCTGTGAGTGATCTAGTCGAGCGTTGGCGAGTTCAGGGCCCTAGCAACTGAAGCGAATGGCTGCTCTAATTGTCGATGCGCCCGTTTTCAGTCGAGTGCGTCGCTGGCGGGCCGGCGGGCGCCTTCTGGCCGCCTCAAGTCCGCCTCGGCCAAGGCGGAGATGCCCTACAAAATGATGTAGGGTGTGGCTGAGGAGCTGGAGCGCGGCGCCGCTCCCAGCACCGGCGGCCGTCGGCCACGGCTGTAGGGTGTGGCTGGGGAGCTGGAGCGCGGCGCCGCTCCCAGCACCGGCGGCCGTCGGCCACGGCTATAGGGTGTGGCTGAGGAGCTGGAGCGCGGTGCCGCTCCCAGCACCGGCGGCCGTCGGCCACGGCTGTAGGGTGTGGCTGGGGAGCTGGAGCGCGGTGCCGCTCCCAGCACCGGCGGCCGTCGGCCACGGCTGTAGGGTGTGGCTGGGGAGCTGGAGCGCGGTGCCGCTCCCAGCACCGGCGGCCGTCGACCACGGCTGTAGGGTGTGGCTGGGGAGCTGGAGCGCGGTGCCGCTCCCAGCACCGGCGGCCATCGGCCACGGCTGTAGGGTGTGGCTGGGGGGCTGGAGCGCGGCGCCGCTCCCGGTGCCGGCCGGGGAGCTGGAGCGCGGCGCCGCTCCCGTCGCCGGCGGCCATCGGCCACGGCTGTAGGGTGTGGCTGGGGAGCTGGAGCGCGGCGCCGCTCCCAGCACCGGCGGCCGTCAGCCACGGCTGTAGGGTGTGGCTGGGGAGCTGGAGCGCGGCGCCGCTCCCAGCGCCGGCGGCCGTCGGCAACGGCTATTTCCTTCCCACTCGTCGCTAGGCTTGAGTCAGCACCGTTTTCATGCGGCATTGCACCACGTGGCTTTCCCGTTCATTGTGCAGTTATGTAGGGCTTGTTTGCAAGCTGTGGGGATCCGTTTTAAATGACGGAAACGGCTAAATGCCATTTTTAGGTTCGTTTGCCGTCAGTGTTTGAGAACTTTGTAACACGATCGTGTTGCCCGGCCGCATCTTCAGCGGGGTTACCAGTAAGGTGTCAACAGACTGTTTACGTTCTCGCCGAAATAGTTCTGCGGACTTAGAGACATTACCCATTTGAAGTAGATGGCCATGCTCTTGTTAGTTCGACTCACCTTGGTGTTATCTATGTTGCATTTCGTCAATTTATCGTCGGCTTGCATGCCTTATGTGTGATGAAATATCTAGTCAGGCTTTGCAGGTCTACTTCCGTAGCTGCAGGTGACATTACATCCCCATTTTACATGGGAGTATGTAAGTTTGTTTATATATGTGAAGTTTTCTTTTATGTCTGCTACGTTATTACGGATGTGCCAGACACTAGATGCTACGTTATTATGGATGTGCCAGACACTAGCATTTGCAGCAATCGAAGTGTCTGCTGTTTCATGTGGTGCATACAAGCCGTTAGCTATCGTGTAATTGCCTTGGAATGATTTTGTATGCGCTCCTACAAGGTAATCAAATGTTTTTTTTTTGTTGTCGCAGTGAGTGTTTGGTTATAATATCGCCTGTTTGTGGTCGCTTCGGGCCACGGATTTCGTTTTGCCGGCACCAGCCTACCTCAGCCGACGTTCTCTCGGAAGCGGAATCTCCGTCAACGTTTTCTGCCGATGCCTTTTCTGTCGAAGCCACCGTGACGAACTTCTGCAGCGGCACGTGGCCAGCTGTGTCGACAGGCCGACCACTCACCGGCCAGCTCTCGCTCTCGCCAGGGGCCCGTCACGCAGGCATGGTCGTCGCCGAGCTTCCGGTCCGCCGACGCCTCCCGCTGACGGAGGCGGCGCCCGGGCCGGCGGCGGGCGGCGGCGGGCCCCACCAGCCGCTGGGGAGCGGGCCGGCGGCGGGCGGCGGCGGGCCCCGCCAGCCGCTGGGGTCCGGGCCGGCGGCGGGCGGCGGCGGGCCCCGCCAGCCGCTGGGGCCCGGGCCGGCGGTGGGCGGCGGCGGGCCCCGCCAGCCGCTGGGGACCGGGCCGGCGGTGGGCCTTGCTAGCCGCTGGGGGAAGACCACGCACCACGCACCACGCACGCGGCTGCGTGGCCCCCGGCGATGTGCCGCACAAATGCAGCGGACGCTTTACGGCGCTCGTCTTAGCGCCAGCACGAACCGACTCTAGTCAAACGGCCGTGGTGCGACAGGATGCGCCGGTGTGCAGAAGACGCTGAGGCTGCGGCTGCCAGCGTTGATCGGTGCTGTGATTTGGAAACAGCTGATCCCAAGTACGTAGCTACCGCCGAAGCAATTATATTTGTCCGCCCTGTCAAATGCTCCGTGGTTGGCATCAGGCTGGTGACGCCATTGACACTGATTCCGTCCATGCAATGGTGTGATTAATACAATGTTGCACAAGATCACTGTGTCTTGGTCTTAGCACGGGGATAAAGTGTTTGCAAAGGGCTAGCTGTGCGCGCCTCCGAGATGGGCCGAAGGAGACCATGGCAGTTGAACGATAAACAGACGAGATAGGGCTCTCCAGACGAATTGCTGCGGCGTTGCCTCCTGCAGATTAGATGAATTCCGGCCCGATTTGAGGTCACAGAGGGATACGTGAAGTGGAGACCACTCAGCTGCTGCGTGGTACGCTCTACGTGACGCACAGTCAACCTGTGCACTAGCAAATATTGCCTTATTATCCCACGCCAGCCCTCCTCCCTCTTTTTCCCGTTCCCTGTATTGTATTGCGTTGCGCATAAACGGGTTGATCCACAATATTAAGGCTTTTCTCTGACCCTCGCTAGTTTACATGGTCGCAGCACAAGTCGTGTCCACAAAAGCACTAAGACACCCTCCCAGCCATTCCACTCACACACTGCACACAACGCGCCTTCTGAGCGGATAGACAAGTTCGTCGAGTTGTGTTGGGAATCTTAGTTTTGAACTAATGCGTTGAGGCGTTGGACAAACCTTGAGCATTCTCGTACTGCTGTCCCGCGCGATACATATATCGTCTCATTCTAGGATTATTGTTCTCACGATTTGTATCTTAATTTTCACCACTCCCCTCTCTCTGTCTCTGTCTCCCTCCTCTCTAATATGCGGTAGACGTCATTACGTAGGCTCAGCCCGCGCAGAAACGTCGTGATGCTCGATAGTTACTCTAGATGCTATAAACAGTGCTGTAATAACGGGGAACATATCCCGTATTACCTTAATAGTTCGGCACTACGCCAGTTGAACAATACTCACACGTACAAGCGAAATGCGGAGTGAATGCCGAATGGCTTGACGTCCAGAACTCCATCCAGCGTCGGGCCGTTTACGTCCAGGACTCAGTCCAGCGTCGGGCCTTTTACGTCCTGAACTCCATCCAGTGTCGGGCCTTTTACGTCCAGAACTCCATCCAGCGCCGGGCCTTTTACGTCCAGAACTCCATCCAGCGTCGGGCCTTTTACGTCCAGAGCTCCATCCAGCTTCAGGCCTTTTACGACGATGTGTGTTAGACTAAAAAATTAGACTCAGACTTTAGTCCGCCTCACCCCAGATCCGACCGCCAAGGTTGACTGAAGCTGTCTGTCCAGTTTACATTGCAGACAATTGCCACGTGGATTTAGAGTGAGGTGTATGGCTGGGGCCGTTAGATAACTAGTGAAGGCCCTCCACTTCAGATCCGACGCGGTGATCCGCCATTCAAATGTCCTCTGGTGAATAAGCACAAACTTCTTCTGAACGACTTACAGCGGACCCGCATGTGACATGTTCAGGCTTGTCGTTCGAAGGCTAATCATCAGGATACGAAACAGGCGCACTGTAGGCGCACTTATCGGATGGGCCGAGCTGTTACCAGAATAAGCTACGCTTGCACATTGTGTAACCGGTCCCGCCGCAACCCATTCTCTGCTGTTTCTGCATCGTACGTATAACTTGAACAAATAGTAAAATGTACTTTTATTGAATAAGCCGCGCTCGACACATACGAGACAAAACGGTAGAAAGTTTCGCGAGGAGCACACGACAGAACCAACAAATCGCACTATCCCATCAAAATCTCGCACGACAGTGGAGCTCTTCAAAAAGCCGTACTACGGGCGGCACCGCTGTACTCACTCGGGCACTTGACAGCACGACCAAATCCAGTTCTTCGGAAGTGATGTCAGAACTGAACAAGGCGGGACGACGCCGCGTCCTGATCCCGTACGACACATCGCTCGGCTGCGGGGCCGCCCCGTGCCCGAACAAATGATCACAAAACTGACGCTACTAAACGAACAGCCCCTGGTGAGACCGCGCAAGGCTATCACATGCTTGGGGTAAGCGGCTGATGGCCGGGCCGCGCCGGGACACGCGATTGGTCGCTTCGACTCACGTCAACCAATCACCACGGCCGCTCGGCGCGCTCCGCCCCTCTCCGCTCGGGCCGCGCCGTCGCTTCTCCCCAGCGTCGCGATGCTGGGCGCGCGGCCCTCACCCCGCCGGGCGGCCGGCGCATACAAGCCACCGAGGCAGTCGCGCGCCAGGCGGGCACCGCTCCGCCGCTTAGCGGCTCTTCGGCCGCTCGCTGTCGGCGAGTCGTCACTGCAGCATGTGATCACTGGAGGGTCCAGTCACCACAGCACGGGCCATACCCGGGCGCACCATCACCGCGATCGTATCCACAAGCGTGACAACGCCTGGGGCAACCTCGGCGGTACTCTGCTGAACAGTCACCACAGCCTTACTGGCTAGCGCGGGCGAGGAGCGGGCAGTCCCAACGCATTGGCAGCAGCGAGCGGGCGACCACCACAGTCTAGTCCCCGGCGTAGACATCCTGCGGCGGCGGGTAGCCACTATAGTCAAGTCCCCGGCGTAGTCGTCCTGCGGCGGTGGGTAGCCGCTAGTCTAGTCCCCGGCGAAGTCGTCCTGCGGCGGCGGGTAGCCGCTACAGTCTAGCTCCCGGCGTAGTCGTACTGCAGCGGTGGGTAGCCACTACAGTCTAGTCCCCGGCGTAGTCGTCGTGCAGCGGCGGGTAGCCTATCCAGCCTGGTCCCCGGCGTAGTCGTCCTGCAGCGGCGGGTAGCCGCTAGTCTAGTCCCCGGCGTAGTGGTCCTGCGGCGATGGGCAGCCGCTACAGTTTAGTCCCCGGCGTAGTCGTCCAGCAGCGGCGGGTAGCCACTACAGTCTAGTCCCCGGCGTAGTTGTCCTGCGGCGGTGGGTAGCCGCTAGTCTAGTCCCCGGCGTCGTGGTCCTGCGGCGGTGGGTAGCCGCTAGTCTAGTCCCCGGCGTAGTGGTCCTGCGGCGATGGGCAGCCGCTACAGTCTGGTCCCCGGCGTAGTCGTCCAGCAGCGGCGGGTAGCCACTACAGTCTAGTCCCCGGCGTAGTCGTCCTGCGGCGATGGGTAGCCGCTACAGTCTAGTCCGCGGCGTAGTCGTCGTGCAGCGGAGGGTAGCCACTACAGTCTAGTCCCCGGCGTAGTCGTTGTGCAGCGGCGAGTAGCCACTACAGTCTAGTCCCCGGTGTAGTCGTCCTGCGGCGATGGGTAGCCGCTCCAGTCTAGTTCCCAGCGTAGTCGTCCTGCGGCGGCGGGTAGCAGTTGGCGACGCCTAATTCCCAGCGTAGTCGTCGTTGGGCGGCGGCGGTGGGTAGTCGTCGCCGGCCGAGAACACGTCGGCCAGCATGTGGCGAGGGATCTCCTCGCCGCGCACCTTCAGCTGGTAGCAGGCGTTCTCCACCTTGGCCACGCTCTGGCGGAGCGTACTCAGCTTGCGCGTGATCTCGCGTGGTCCCGTGTTCCCTGCGGGCACGGCGGAGGTGGGTACGGGGCGGAGACGGACACGGGCCAGCCAGGGCCCGGCCGGGGGAGAGCTTCACAGGCGGCGGAGGCAGACACCGCACGGCCGTCGGCACGTACCCACGCCCTGCGGGCGCGGCGGGGGTGGGCACGGGGCGGCGACGGACACGGGCCCGGCCGGGGGAGAGCTTCACAGGCGGCGGAGGCAGACACCGCACGGCCGTCGGCACGTACCCACGCCCTGCGGGCGCGGCGGGGGTGGGCACGGCGCGGCGACAGACGCGGGCCCGGCCGGGGGAGAGCTTCACAGGCGGCGGAAGCAGACACCGCACGGTCATCGGCCCGTCCGTTTGGTTGACATACAGGTACAGCGAGGGCACGGCAGCTGCAGCCGGCTAACTGACAGCAGACGGGTGATGCGTTGCATCTCGTTAAGTTTGAAAGGACACCAAGCAAAGTGCTGCGAGGCGCAAGCCGACGCAACACACCTTCCACCACAGGCACCACCCGGTGCAACAAGTTTGACAGCCACCTCTCTCCCTCTGCCCCGTTTGGTGGGACCTTCTCTAGCAGCATAATCCAAGCATTATCTTCCCAACATTTTCCCATCAATAAACTTGTGCCAGTAACATAATGCTACAGCCACCAGTTCACAATAGAAACATGTGGATAAACTCCACAAACAATGTCCCACGCTAGAAGGCCGTCACTTCTGACCCTGCTGCCCCATACTGACGAAGGTCGGCCGGTCACCACTCTGACGGTGCCGCATGTCGATGAAGCCCAGCCGACTGCAGTGCCCAGTGAGAGTTCCGTTGACGAGGCCCAGCCGCCCCCATCGGCCGCTGACCTATGTTAATGAAGCCCTCGTGTATGGTGCGCAGGAAGCCGCACAGCCGCCAGCACTGATCCAGCTCGCCGGAGCTGACCGAGCTGATGCACTTGCGCATCAGCTCCCCGGTCAGGTCGGCGATGCCCAGCACGTACTCGTGGTAGGGCAGCAGCAGGCTCAGGGCCGGCTGCGGGGGCGGGCGCGGCCGCAGGTCAGGGCAGTGCCGGCCGCCGAGCGCACACAGCACCCAACCAACACGTCACATCTAGCAGGGCACCAGCACTTGGAAGCGAGTAATTGGGTTTGCTTGGAACATCACGTCGTTGGCAACATGGTGATATGTTACGCACACTGCGTTTTCGAGTAGCTTAGGGAGAGTAGCTACCCCCGCCACGGCTGCAGCGTAAGAAAAAAAACATGCGCTTATCTCTTCCGTGCATTGAAACGAACGGAGATAACCACGCTTCCCCTAACAACACTTCCACATGTTCAACAAGCTCCCCGGACATCAGCACGAGCGCCGACATGCCGCGGGCGTCGCCTGGTACGGACGTCTGATAACGCAGAAAGCACTAGCACTGCGACTACGACGGCAGACTTACCGCATCAGGGTCAGCTGGCGCCTCACCCGCCTCCGCCACGACGGTTTTCACCAGCTCGGCCGACTCCGGCTCCGTGTCCGCCGCCGGCCTGTCGCCGTCAGGCACCGCCGGCTCCGTGTCCGCCGCCGGCGCCACCGTCGCGTCGGCAGGTGGCTCCGCCTCGGCGAGGCCGGCGGCGCCGTCCGCCGGGGCGCCTCGAGCGCCGGCCTGCGCGGCGGCGGGGCGCGGGTAGGTCAAGTGCGCCTGCGCCTCGGCCCAGCTGATCAGGCGGTCTTGCAGCAGGTAGTAGTAGAATGACAGCGCCTCGATGTACTCTTGCAGTCCTGCCGGCCACACACAGGAGCCGTAGTAGTCAATCCTTGTGAAACAGCGATCAATGACGGCAACAGTGCCCGTCAAACTGGCGAGAGACCACCCCGCCACTGGAACAGCGAGAAACTCTTGCAGTCACTACAAGACCGGAGGGCTTGATACATGCCTCGTGATGGGGAAGCAAGGTTACCTCTATTCAACGCCCCTCTCTTGGAGGACTCAACAGGGTACCTTTGGGACCTGATTTCGCTGCAACGCGAGGCACGTAATACAGTACAGAGACGGACGTGTAGCGCTGGCACGTGCAACCAGAGCGGACGCCCTCTGCTCGAAGGAACGCTGATCTCAATAGGTAATTAATCTGCCAATCCCTTCATCGATCATATGCGTCAGATGTCCTTGGTCATTGACAAACGTCTTGGAACAGCGCCACGAACTCCAACCAACAGGGTGTGCAGGACATGAGGTATATATGCCACTAACATTCTGACTCTCTAGCGGCCTCCGTACGCACAAGTCGTCGGTTGCTAGTCCACTGGCCTCTGACCCCAAACCCTGGCAGCTGGACTGCGTTCCCCATTGCCAAACGCCGCACACAACTTGCAACCTCGACGTCACAGGTCAGTGCGTCACAACAGTGCCTACGGCTCGGAGTATGGCCGCCCGTATGTGACTTAGGTACTTGTGACGTCACAGGTAAGTGTGTCACAACAGTGCCTACGGCTCGGAGTATGGCGGCCCGTATGTGACTGAAGCACGTGTGATGTCACATGTAGTAACTTCAGGCAGGTACTTTGCCAATGGGGAACGCAAGCTTGACCTGCGCGGCCCATTTGCCGACCTCGATGCGCCTGGATGCTGGGTTGGCCGCCGTCGGGTTAGGCAGCGAACAGGTCGTGAACCCTGGGCGGGGATGCTATAGGATAAAAATAACGGCACACCTACCGCCGAAGTGGCCGAACAATAAAACAGTGTGGAGCAATCACGCGCCTCCGAGGTTGTTTGAAGGATAAAGTGGTCAAATTAGGGGGCATATGACACAATAAGTCACTCCAAAACACCTGGTGAGGGGTAAAACGAGGCATTGAAAATGCACAGTAGTCACGCGTTCGCGAATGTGACCAGCTAAAGAAGCCGCACAGCGGAGCTACGTGGCAGCCAACGCGGCGCGATACTTTGGTCCCCGGTAACACATAGCACGCAGGTCAACTCATGAGGCATGCCGTCGGGCGCAAAAATGCCCAGACTAGCCGGAACTTTCAACTTCATGCTGGAAAAGAACGGTACAAGCTCGTCGCACCAGGTTATCCTAACGTCGTCACGTCTAGCCCAGCCGCGTCCCCGGGCAGTTTTCAGTGGCTCGTTTCCCGGGCAATCCTCGACGGCACAAGAGAAGCATGACAGGCTACTCGCAGCCCACGCTTTAACTGGACGAACTCAGGCCACACGCTCCATCCCATATCAAAACGAATTCACCACGACCGCGGCCGGAACCTTGAGGAGCGACCTTTGGCCTCGTTGACACTTGACAATAACCGCCCGGCAAACACCTGCAAAGCCAATCCACCGTTCACTCTCACCGGGGGGAGCGCGCTCAGCGGAGACCGCGCCCCTCGCCAATCTCAGTAGGCCGCTCACGTCTCATGCCCCGGTCGGGACACGGCCGAGGTCGTGACCCCCCACCGACTGTCGCGCCGCTCTGCATCGCACGTCACATTCAACGCGCTGCTGCTGCGACCCTTGCGGCCGGCGGGCTGGCTGGCTGAGTTCAGCGGGACTCCATACAGCACGTAGGAGAGGCGCGTAACCGCCCTGACCGAGTCACGACCGACGCGCCCCAGGTCTGCCGCTGTGGTGGAGCCAGCTTCGTCGGGCATTGGAACGCACTCCTGGCGGCCGGCCGGCTGGCTGAGGTCAGCAGGACTCGTGACGGCGCGTAGGAGAGGCGCGTGACCGTCCTAACCGAGTCATGACCGACGCGCCCCAAGACCGCCGCTCTGGTGGAGCCGGCTTCATCGGGCACTGGAAGACGCCCCTGGCGGCAGGGCTCAGGACGAGCGGTGCAGGGCTCTGCCATACTGATGCCCCTGGTGATCTGACTAATGGTCACGGGCGTTCACAAAATGTGATGACTGGGGAGGGGAGGGGGGGGGGACAACCAATGGTTTGTTGCGTCCAAAGTGGCGAGGTAAAGAGAATTTCGGCTCTCCGAACCGCTGAAAAAGATAGCACCGCCTTCAGGGACTGGAGGGGGGAGGGGGGAGGGGGGAAGGGGGGGGGGGGCGGAGGAAGGCGGAGCACCGGACCCAGAGATGGTCCCCGGTATCTTGACCACCCATGGCATCCCCGCCAACAGCCCTGGTGCACAAGTACTTTGACTGCTGACCCCAAAGACTGCTCTGAGGGGACGGCACCGTGCCATGCACTCGCCCACCGCAGTGCAGTCAACATCAACGTACCTGCGCGCTCTCTGATTCCAACATCGTCATACCACCGACGTCTGAAGTCTAAGACATCAACCACTGAGCTCCCTAAGATGGACATTTTGTGCACGTGGATTCAGCGTGCATTGGTTACGCGTGCTGACCGTAACACCCCAACCTCCGGTACTGAGGTTCCACCCGCCCGATTTAGCGACGTGAGAGGCACATGCACCCAACCATTTGGGAAGTTGCAATACCATGTATTGCAATACCAGTGTTGCCATGGTGCCGTGTAAACTGAACAATCCCATTTGCTCAAAAAGTCAACCGCACATAATCTGGATCTCGTTTGCACTGGCAAGCACCGAACCCGGACAAAGATATGTTGTTTCAGAATGCAATCAAATCCGTTTGGGAACTAGTCAAAATCACATTTTGTTATCCTAGGAAAAACCCGGAGAAGTGGTCGGAACAGTGGTTCTGAAGAGCCTCTTTTCCTCCCCAGGAAAGCCACAAATATGAAATACCGCTACTTCTGTGCCTAGCCTACGGTCACAACAGTATGACCTGTAGCATTGTCAGGACAAAACTGCCATGTTGTGGCACACGACTCCTTTCCCACCAATGTTAAATTCCATATCTGCAGACCTTTTGCAGCGCAAGAATACAATTTGTGACCAAAAGAAGTTTTCAAAGTGAAAAGCGAGAGGAGTATCTACAGATGAGTTCGATCAGCAAGATTCAGCCGCGATATGCTACATATTTCACTGAAAATGATTTTTGGGTGGCCTCAGCCCCTGAGGTACGTTGGAATGAAAGTTGTTTACGAAATGGAGCAGACGGAATCCCTGAGTCCATCACCACCTCAGCACACCAGATATATCGAAGTGTGTGCGTTTTTTCTTTGCAGTGCCTATACCCAAGTAATTGCATCCTTTCTGCATTCGGTATCACCAGAACCAACGCAGTCTGGGCCATCACCGACTTAAAGACCCGGCTGGAGCTTCTGTATGCATATGAAACACACATCTGCACTATATTACAAAGCCACATTAGGTCACATTTGACAATAACGCGCGTATTTATTGTTTTACCTTGTAAAAATCGTTTCTACCGCATCCCACTCTTCCCCTCTGTTCGCAATTCTTTCCTACTTTACAAGGCAGCCGGGTCGTCATATGAAACATGAAAAGCCAGCTGCGGGTCAGCCGGCCGGGAAAGGCGTCTGCACGCACAGGCCGCGCCGGTGGGGCAGCTGCGGGTCAGCCGACCGGGCAGGCGTCTGACCGCACAGGCTGCGCCGGTGGGGCAGCTGCGGGTCAGCCGACCGGGCAGGCGTCTGACCGCACAGGCTGCGCCGGTGGGGCAGCTGCGAGCCCGGCCGAAAACAAGATCATCACGGCGAGACGCCCTGGCTGAAGCGCAGCACGTGGCTGGGATCATTGCGCCCACGCCCCAAGCGCCAAAAGCGCGTCCGGAGCAGGGGGCAGCCGGGAAGCGGGGCATTCGACGAAGACGCGTCCCATGCCGGACCGGGACCGATAGACCGCCAGCAGACGACCGAGAAAGACCCGCGCATCAGGACCGACAGGCCGCCAGCGGAAGACCAAGAAAGACCCGCGCATCAGGACCGATAGACCGCCAGAGGAAGACCAAGAAAGACCCGCGCATCAGGACCGACAGGCCGCCAGCGGAAGACCAAGAAAGACCCGCGCATCAGGACCGACAGGCCGCCAGCGGAAGACCAAGAAAGACCCGCGCATCAGGACCGACAGGCCGCCAGCAGACGACCGAGAAAGACCCGCGCATCAGGACCGACAGGTCGCCAGCGGAAGACCAAGAAAGACCCGCGCATCAGGACCGACAGGCCGCCAGCAGACGACCGAGAAAGACCCGCGCATCAGGACCGACAGGCCGCCAGCGGAAGACCAAGAAAGACCCGCGCATCAGGACCGACAGGCCGCCAGCAGACGACCGAGAAAGACCCGCGCATCAGGACCGACAGGCCGCCAGCGGAAGACCAAGAAAGACCCGCGCATCAGGACCGATAGACCGCCAGAGGAAGACCAAGAAAGACCCGCGCATCAGGACCGACAGGCCGCCAGCGGAAGACCAAGAAAGACCCGCGCATCAGGACCGACAGGCCGCCAGAGGAAGACCAAGAAAGACCCGCGCATCAGGACCGACAGGCCGCCAGAGGAAGACCAAGAAAGACCCGCGCATCAGGACCGACAGGCCGCCAGCAGACGACCGAGAAAGACCCGCGCATCAGGACCGACAGGCCGCCAGCGGAAGACCGAGAAAGACCCGCGCATCAGGACCGATAGACCGCCAGAGGAAGACCGAGAAAGACCCGCGCATCAGGACCGACAGGCCGCCAGCAGACGACCGAGAAAGACCCGCGCATCAGGACCGACAGGCCGCCAGCGGAAGACCAAGAAAGACCCGGCTAGAGTCGAGCAGCAGACCGAAGCAGAGCCAGGTGATACAACCATCCGCCGTGGGCGAGTTCGGAGTCCGAGTCCGGGTCCAAGTCCAAGTCCAAGTCCGAGTCCAAGTCCAAGTCCGAGTCCGAGGCCGAGGCCGAGGACGAGGCCGAGCCCGAGCCCGAGCTCCAGTCCGAGCTCCAGCCAATCAGTGCGCAGTAAAACACCACGACTGCAAAACCCCAGGGCCAGGTACCACCCTGGGGCGTACCGACATTCGCTACCAGGGGCCCTGGGCCCGTCCCGGGCCAAGAAAGAGCCCGTGCGAAACGGACATGAGCACGGGCGCGAATGGGAGTGAACTTAGCTGATGGTCGAAACCTGTAGGGAGGAGCATGTCGAACGCCCGGCGGTAGCGTGACACTCAAGAAGAGGGCACCAACTCAGAAGGGGGGCATCCTCGGCCTCGAGCGCTCTCAGTGGACTGAGGCGCTCTCCACCTGACGCACCATGTGAATGGAGGAGCTGCGACGAAGGGCTGAGGCACTGCAGTCCGCTCCCCGTTTCCATCCCTCTTCGGCCATGTCTGCTCACCTCCCTCCCCCCTGCTACGCTTGCCAGACGCCAACTAGGTGCGAGAACTCAGCCGGATAATTGCCAGTTAAACTAAGACTAACAAGACAGGATGGGCATGCCACGTGCCGAGTGAGCATAATTACGCGCGAAAGGGCTGAGGGTCGGGGTCACGCACCGGGCAGGTCACCATGTTATTAGAATCATCGCGACGAGGAGCTGTATGGCGTACAAGTCAATAAGCGTCGTGTGCTTAGATGTGAACTGTGAATTAGATTTTAATACTTAGGCCCATGAGCAAGTCGTGATATTACGGAGGAAACGAGGAATTCAAGCGGGGAATGGACGTAGTGTAAACAAACTCTAATCAAGCTATGTATCCAGATCCTGACGAGGTATATCGGCCAAATTCGCAGCCTGCACGACTCTGCACGCAAAAGTAGGCTTGGAAAGACGGAGTTTGTCAGCTGGAACCCAGTATTATTTATAGCACATTATATTTATTTTCAGGGCGCGCGCAGTTCTCCATAAACCTGCCGTAAAAACGTGCATTTCCATTCATTGGTACTTGTATGACTAGCCAAATGCTTCCGGAAAGGTAGGGCAAGAAATGGCGAACTTCTCTGATACGATACGTAGCTGTTTACTTGCGATGTGCACATTCCTTGATGCATGCTTGGTGAGAGAAATGATGCACATTGTGATCTATTCTTATAACATTCCGCCAATGGAAAAAATCTTAATCGATAATTGGAGCCGAACATTTTGATGGGACATGTAGTTATTTGTTGGCAATGCGCAGTTTTGATAAAAAGCTGATGAAAAATAGCGTGCATGGCAGCACATTCATCATCACCATTAGCTCATTTAGAAACAACCATGAGTCTTCACGAAAAACTGGAATCGGAAGTGACTGACTCTGTGATTCGACACGTCACTGTTGTTTGCGACGCACGTAGCCTGCTTGGAAGCCCGGTAAGCCATGTGAGTAACACAATGCCATTGTTCATTTATTTACTTTCAAACTCAGCGAGCCGTCGATGAATCATTAGGAACACGATCGTTGTAACATTCTGCGGGCATTGTCAGAAACGGAATTGACTTCCTGATTACGGGTCTGTACGCTAACAGATTCAGTACGCATTTCAGGCACACAGGTTGAATTGTTTCGGACCGCACTTCACAGAGAAAGAGCCTGCTGCCTGTCTACGCTGTGGGCAAGTTTATTCTCTGCCTGGACTTTCGTTTCCTTATTTTAGTAGCTTAATAACGAGCTGAATAGTGCAATTACATTAATTTTACAGGTTCTAAGATGCTTTCAGTGCCAGTCAGAGCCAAAGAGTACCTCCCGGAGGCCCTTATTCGTGAATTCCACGGTTACCTAGGCTTCCTGGTTTGTTGATGACAGGACAACTTGAACACCGGGGAGTAGACAGGATGTCCGTACCGTAACCCGAATCACGTCTGGTGAGTGTAGCAGGCGAACAAAAAACACTCACTCTACGGGCTCCTGTTATTATGTTCCTAGTCTTAACCTCACCCTCCATCCTGAACACTGTGGAACCTATGTGTCTAACAAAGACTTTGCCAGCCTCGCACTTGTATATGGTTCTGAAAGGAGCGCGGGGTACAGCACATTACTGAGTGCAGCTTTCTTTGCAAGACGGCCAGGCTACATGGGCACATAAGGACTCCTCTGGCATTGAATGGAAATGGTTACTGAAGATGAATTTTGGAAACTATTGCAAAAGGTTACAAAGTGTTGCGAAGACGGGAAAATGTTGCGAACTATTACAGAATGATACACACGCAATTACCGGCCAAACAAAGCATCACCCAGCTCCAGGACGACCGCCATACTTCTGGCAAGGTCCGAGAGCAACAAAACATTTTTTTTGGAAACTTGACAAAATTGTAAAAAAGAAGATAAAACATAATGCACGGCGCGCATTCCGCTATAACGCCAGCTATACATGCGTATTTGAATGCAGGCATGCATGCAAGTTTCCACGTTTGTTTGTATGTATTTACACAGCTGTACATGCTCATCCACATGCATGTATGAATGCATGCATGTATACATACATGCGTAAATGTATGTACGCATGCGTGCATGCATATTCACTATCGACAATTTGCGGTGTGCATGAGTTCTCTGGTTGGTGACGTCACATGTGTAACAAAGCGTCATTCAAACAAACTTCACACGCTTGCAGTTACTATCACTGTGAACATCATCACAGTCAACCGCGCGAATTCTGGCTGAAATTTCGCGCGTAGGATTTGCGGGATGCAGTTCAAAAGCAAAGACCGTCATTTTTGTTTTGTCTACTCTCGATAACACTTCACGTGCTGCATTTAGAACAAAATTATAGACCTAGACCACTACAGGTCCGTGCACCACCAAGCGTTACATCATGCCCTTCTTTTCAGACTCACTTGCAAGAGGTGGTAGAGATGAACTTCTCTGAGTGAGAACAGGGCGCAATCACCGAATCTGCCCGCGCAAGAAAAGCTTGCGAGTAAAATTCACCAGGAATTCCTGGCGAGCTGAAGTACCTCAGCGCCGAGTTCAGGCAGAGTTTGCAAATATGTGTGGCGTTTCAAGTGCGTATGTGCACCGTTTCTCAAATTGACAATTGAGAATATGGATGCGAGCATCAAAGATGTTGGAAAAGCTAACTTGTAACTGTAGGTATGCTTCAACTGTAAAAGGCTGCTCTAAGTAAAACACGTCCCCAACATAACAAATGTTCTCCCCAGTACGTCATCGTTTGCTTACGTCATGAAGCGAGTTTATGACGTCCGGGTTGCTGCCAGATAAGGCGTGTCAGAATGGCCACAAGCGGACAGCACTCAATTGTCGCATACCGAGCGTTGATCATCATGATGTTGGCGTCTGTGCATTCAAGTTTATCTTCTTAGCAAGGTGCGTGTATTTTTGGTGTTATCTCATGGTGTTGTGCATTTTTCCGTGATGCTATATTTTTCTACTTGCATTTACATTATCGGTTACAGCGCTTTTCTGCCATTCGATTCTCAGCCCCACGTCCGCCAAAATTCGTAAAACCACCTGCGTTGTGTATCACAACACGTGGTTCACGATCGAAACATGCAATTAGCGGCTTAAAATGGTTGTTAACCAACCGCTGTCTGCCAGCGAGACGACTCATGCTGTTGTACTATAGACACGGATATTGAGATGGCGAAATTAATTGTTGACCTCGAGCATAATATGGCCACTGCGATGGGGAACACGTGTGATGTTTCTATGACGTCATATTATTTACGTCTGAATACGCTCAAATTACGAAGCGCAAAATAGTCGGCCGAGTCTACGGGCGCCTAGCTGGGAAACAAGAACATTTGAGATCACAAGCAGAACGTAACTGTGAACTGAAGAGAATTTTCTTGAAAATGGTTATCTCAATTCAAGACCCCATACAAATGTGGAACAGCCTCTTTAATGGCGGAAGGGAGGACCTCAAAGCCCTTCCATGTGCCCGACAGTCTCCGTCGATGACCGCTGATAACACCACCCGGGCGGAGACCCTCGCGGAAAAAGACCGAAGAACCACCGCCGATGAGATCAGCGAGCAGCTGGGCCTGTCCCATGAGACTGTCCATCGCTTCACCGCCGACGTCCTTGCGATGGCGACGGCCAGTGCAGGATGGGCGGCCTGGGCCCGGCATCCAGTGCTGCTGGACAGCGAGTCCAGCATCTTCCACAGACCAAGGCGGCGGCATGAGGACGGCGGCGTCCCCGGACTACCAGCCGTCATCAACACCTAGCTGGACCTACGGCTCTAACGACCACCCACCTCGACTAGTGGTCATAGCACACACACCTCAGACTGATTGGCCTGAGGAACATATACCTGACTTGACAGCCCCAACGCACGTTGAGGCACATCTGAACCGACGGCCCACACAAGCGTGTGCCAGGCCTGACAGCCCCCATCATCTCCCACCTGGACTGATGGCCCTGATGAACATGTACGGGTCCTGGCCGCGCAGCTCCTGGGCGATCTCGCGCAGCGCGGTGTTCTCCAGGTGCCGGAAGCGCTGCGCCGCCTCCTCCAGCAGCGCCGCACTCTGCTCGTCCCTGGCGGACGGCTCGCCGGGTCAGCGACGGGCTACGGCGCGATTGGTGAAGCACTACAGTATTCCAGTCACCTCAAGTGGGCGTCCAGCACGGCACCTGCACTCACTTAGAGACCCTGTGCAGCATGAAAATGATCCTTTTGCTCTCGATGGTGACGTCTCTGCTCTTCTTCACCAGCCGCTCGTAGCGGTCGTGCTTGTTGTCCAGGTGGGTGGCGAACTCGCGGAACATCTGCACCACAGGCGAGCTGCTCTCAGCAGCGTCAGCTGACGCCGCCTGAGGCGTAGCCGACTCCACATGACGCCGTTCATAGTTGCCATGACGACCGCGGTGACGCGGACGACCGGAGCTCATGGTGGCGCGACCGCTGGGCTGAGAACGGAGGGGCGCAGGCGTGACATGAGACGAGGGAGCGCCGTAGGGTGTGCCCAAAAATATCCTTAGACATGTTCACATACCGTCGTCAGCAGCCAAAGGACTGCCCACTGTACCATGAGAAAAATCCATGTCTCTTTTTGTGGGAAGTGCACTTCTGATGCACACACAAGGGCATGCATAAGGTCAGGGCAGACCCCGCGCAGTGCGATCACTCTCCACCTGCTGCCAATTCGTGCGCGGCAACCGGTCGAGTAAAAGCGTGCAAAAGTCAGGCCTGAACCGACGACTTCTCACTGCCATCCGAATGGGCAAGAGTCAGATGCATCATCAAGATAATGGAGCAGGGACTTATGGCAGCATGGAAAGCCACTGAGTTGCAACTTTGATAGTCTTCTCATGCAGTACAAGGATCACTTACCTTTCCTTGGCAATGATAGAGGAATCTTTGGGCATTTGGCTGCGCCTGGACTTCTCCAGGTTTGGCATTTACTTTTGGGCTGAAGGATGGCTAAGTGTTGTCAGGTTTGGAGACCCCAACATGCCAACATGCGGGGTCTGTTTGTCACGAGAGTAACTGAGACTATCCGTGTTCGCACACCGGCTCCCAGCGCGTCGCGGGTCCTGGGCTGTCATGGGACAAACTAAAACTAAGGCACCATCCCACACACCCCTGCCACCGCTCCCCTGATTTCCCATCTTGGCCTGGTAGTCACATGAACACACTAGTGCATCCCAGCTGTCACAAGTACCCAGATGGCCATGTAGGCTTCTTGGTTTCTGGTACTTCCCTTGGTATCTTCAGGCCCTTTAGCCAATGCTGACCACACAGGAATGCCTTTTACTTTTGAAGGTATTCATGGTTGTCATGGGATCATTGGCAACAACCACCTTAGGAGCCCACTACCTTACCCCTTGCCATGCAGAGGTTCCCTCATCTTATCAAAGCTCTCTTCACTGTGGTTCTTATGGTCTTTACAGGAGCATTCAAGTGCTGATGATGCCAGATGCCTAAGAGATCCCTGCCTCATTTGATGGCCTCTTTAGGACCTTGCTAACAATCATGTAACATGGTGAGGTAAGCCATTAAAAACATTTGCCCCAATTGCACTATTTGCAATGCCCCTTCAACAGCAGCTAAAATCATGGATTGTTTTTTGGATAACTATCAATATGATGTTAGTTCCCAAGCAACAAAAGGAAACAAATTGTATGTGGAACCACCATACCAATGCCCTCCCCCCCCCCCCAGTCTGGATACCATAAACAACATTTGATTCCAGGCCTCATGTTGTCTGTCACCAGGAGGGGTACTAAGACTGCACACTGAGGTCTCCAACAACATCCTGTGATAGCATAAAACCATATTTCCCTTAAACCATGCATGGTAGCCTCACTGAGATCATATTGGATATTGCTTAGAGCAAATTATGATAACATGTGAGTGTGCCTTGGCATGCATGATGTACATATTGCCCAACAAAAATAAATAACAGGATGTGCAGGTATAATTGATGAATATTCATCAGCAATAAATCTGGTGATACTGACTGGATTTGAACATCATATTCATAACAAATATTCAATGACAACAATTTGAAAAAGGTACCATCATTTCAGACTAAAAATGTTGAACATATACATTTGTAAAAAAACACAAATAGAGTCTGACATACAGCTTTAAAACATGAGAAACATAAATGCAGCACTTCCAAACATTTTCTCATGTAACATTTTAGAGCAAGATGGGCAAAGCACTGATAGCATTCCATGTGGACAGGCATTTCAAATGGATAAATATTGCACGCTAAAGCAACACTCCCGAACACCAGTATGCACTTATGCAACAAAGAAATTCTAACTGAGGATTGATGCTCTGAAAATGAAATCAACTGATCCTGGAAAGAGAAAAGCACCACAGAAAAGATACTCCTTTTATCCTGGGCTTGCAGCAATGCAGCAAAACCAATATAATGACGGAAACAATACGGCAGCTAGTTCACAATGGTTCTTAACTATTCTGGCACATTCACAAGCTTTGCCATAACTTACAGGGAATGCACACTGTGAAATAGGTGATGTGTCATAACCATGAGTGTAACAATGGGGTGGGGGGTGGGGGGTGAGGGTTGGGGTGGGGGGAGGGAAATGGGCATGTTTGTTCCAATTTTCACAAAGCCATCTTTTATCACAGCATGCAACTTAAAAAAACACATTTTACTGTTTTCTGATTGAAAATGTCATTGCATCATCAAATGCTCTTCTCAGGATTCTGCCACTCAAAGCACTGTGTTGGATTTTGAATTAAATTTGCTGAACAATGTTAAATGGCCATTCAGCCTTAGACCAGCTTAGACAAATTGTGACAGACATGACATACATAACATCACCTGCAGTCAACAAAGCTTTTCCCTCCATCAGCAGCACAGGTGCCAAGGTAAAAACCCTTCATCACACCTATCATGCCAAAATTCCTTGAAACACGCTCTATGAGCTGAAATTGGTGGTGGCAGTGCCCTCACTCAAATCTGTCATATCGATATTCTGCATGTGATGAAGTTGTTGCCAAGATATTGCTGCCGCACCGAGTATGTTAAGTGCGGCATGTATTTTTTGAAGTCCGACTTACACAGGTTGCAGTAAAACTAATGTCACGACGTTTTTACTCTGATCGAAACGCTCAATTAGAGCACCGCTCCACATTTAAAATTGATGGACTGATCGTCGCGAATAAACGGAATGCACATGACGGTTAATTTCCCGCTAAACCAACCTCTTTGGCTAGCCCCGCGACTCTGCTGGCCGATTTCAGCAGAGGACTTCCCGCGCTGAGAAAACTGCGGATTCGTTAGATAGCCCTGGGTTCGAGGCACAATAGTTTGCAACAGAGGCGCTAAAGGTGTATAACAGAGCACCAGTCAAGGAACGTTCAATAGGGACGTCCGTCAATACAGCAGCAAATTGATATCCAACTGCCATTTGGATATTCCGAGGCATTACGATCGCCTCCATCTTTGGTGTGCAAGACCTTATCGACACGCTGATTCCGAAAATCACTGTCTTTGGTGTGGTATCTTGCGTAACCTCCGAGTTACAAGGCGCGTAACATCGCCAGATCGACTTTGCGGGGCGTCTCGATTGCCTCCAAATTTTGTGTGCAGGTCCTTATCAATCTCTGATTCCAAAAATCACTGTCTTTGGCGTGGGATTTTGTGAGTTACACCACGCGTTATTACACCACGCGATAACTTCCGAGTTACACCACGCGTAAGACGCCAGTGTGATATTGCGGGGCGTCTCGACTGCCTCCAAATTTAGTGCGCAGGGTCTTCTCAACGCGCTGATTCCAAAGATCACAAAACCCCAACCCAAAGACAACGATTTTCAGTATCAGCGTATTGGGAAAGCGCTGCACCTGCAGGCGAACAAAACATCCCGCAACGTCGATCTGGCCATGCTACGCGCTTTGTTACTCGGAGGTTACACAAAATCCCATCCCAAAGACAATGATTTTCGTAATCAACGTGTTGCGAAGGCCCTGGACACCAAAATTGGAGGCAATTGAGACTCCCCGCAACGTCGATCTGGCGGTGTTGTTACGCGCCTTATAACTCGGTAGTTACGTAAAATCGCATCCCAAAGTCAGTGGTTTTCGGAATCAGCGTGTCGAGAACGTCCTGCACACCAAATTTTGAGGCGATCGTGACGCCCCGGAACATCCATCTGGCAGTTGGACATTACTCCGCTGCTAGATTGACGGACGTTCATCTGGGGAAGGACTGAACGACCGACAAAACCTGTTGGTATGCCCTGCGCTTAATCACTGCGCACCGATCAACACCAAATTTTACCAATCGATGACACACAATCCATAACTCATCTTTTCCAGAATATGACGACTTTAGGTCAGATCAAAAGTTACAGAAAATGGGGAAAATATATTAAAATATATTGGCATATAGATAATATGCCACAATCGCAGCCGGTGAGACGTAAAGCCACAATCGCAGCCGGTGAGACATAAAGCCACAATCGCAGCCGGTGAGATGTAAAGCCACAATCGCAGCCGGTGAGACGTAAAGCCACAATCGGTATTACGGCCCGTCCGACAAACAAACCGCCTCCCGCCAAATTCGCAGACAACGCTTCCGCTCAATCACTGCATATATGTGGGAATAATAATGTAAAATCGGTTGGACGCGGAGCTCGGACACAGGTGAGCCCAGAGGCTGCCCAGCTCGACGGTCCGACCGGCATCCACAAACGTGGCGGGTCGGCGGGTCGGCAGACGGGGAAGCCCTGCCGCCAAATGAAAAACGCTGCTGCTGCTGACCGGAACGCTGTTACCAATGCAATTCAATTGGTTGACCAGCTGATTCTCTGAACGGAATTAGCAGTTGCAGCATTACGAACAAGAGAGATTACGCCATTGCGCCTTGCATTCGTGGTGCTCTGTGTGGTTATCCGTCCCGAGTACCAATCTGAAAATTGCACCAGTGCAACATTCGGCCCGGGATGCCTTTTACACGCATGCCAATTGATTTTATAAATTGTTGGAAAGTATCGAGTTCCAATGAATGGTCAGCTTTGCACGTCTGTTGACCGCTGCCAGGTGTTGCTGCAAGGTTCCATATCCTACAACGGTGTAACTACACTTTTTTTGTCCCGACGTCTCACAGAACACCTCACGGAAGGGGCACCAAGGAATCACATACAGGCCGGCCACATTACTTTTCTCACGCACCAAACATTTATACAAAATACTGGAATTCCATCATCTGCGCACGAAACAAGAAAACTCAGCATTCTGTGTGCATTACTCATTCATGGCCTCACACCACCTCTGAGCAAGGAAATTAATCAAATTATTAAATTATCCTTTAAGAGCAGCATCACAAAAATCATTCTGACAAGGAACAAGGCACTGATAAATAGCGCAGGGATTGGTTGATTAGCATGCAGTATTGTGATTTGATGTGTTGATTGCGGTACTCACATTATGTTAGGCTAATGATGTCTTCTGCAGGGCTAAACTAATTGTCTGTTGTTGCCAAGCCAAAACGGCAGTGAGTGTTGTCCAATGAAAAGTTTATTGTTGTTTGCATGATCCCACCGTGTTGTTATCACCCATTCCATCGTGTCTTAGGCTCTACTTTTAAGTGCTCAAGGTGCCGACATGAAGCAAAGAGCGGAATATATAAGAGAGCCAGTCACCAGTCGTAGACTGTGCAGGTTCTGTAAGCTTCGTCTGTCTGTCGTCAAAAAGATACACACACACACACACCACAACACACCACACACACACACACACAACACACACACACACACACACACACAACACACACACACACACCACACAGCACACACACACACAACACACACATCACACACACACACACCACACACACACACATCTATATATATATATATATGATATATATATATATTATAGTATATATAATATGGTGTTGTGTTGTGGTGTGTGTGTGGTGTGTGTGGGGTGTGTGTGTTGTGTGGGTGGGGTGTGTGTGTGGGTGTTGTGTGTGTGTGTGTGTGTGTGTGTGTGTGTGTGTGTGTGTGTGTGGTGTGTGTGTGTGTGTGTGTGTGTGTGTGGTGTTGTGTGTGTGTGTGTGTGTGTGTGTGTGTGTGTGTTGTGTGTGTGTGTGTGTGTGGTGTGTGTGTGTGTGTGTGTGTGTGGTGTGTGTGTGTGTGTGTGTGTGTGGGGTGTGTGTGTGTGTGTGTGTGTGTGTGTGTGTTGTGGTGTGTGTGTGTGTGTGTGTGTGTGTGTGTGTGTGTGTGTGTGTGTGTGTGTGTGTGTGTGTGTGTGTGTGTGTGTATACACCATTATTAACCGTTCTGTGCGATTCGAGCAGAAGCACTGGCCAGGAGAGACAAGACACCATATCGGGGTGACTGGAATCAGTAAACTCCATGGTAACTACATCTCCACGCACCTACACCGCGAAAATCCTAGAGAACTGGAAAGGCCTCTTACTTTGTGAGCTCCCTAAAGTTCGAGCCTCCATCGACCAAAAATAATCGTATTCCAGTGATTGAGTTTTGATATTCTTATGTGTGCAGTTTGCATTCGGGATCCTAGGTTGCTGTGCGCAGCCCTAAAAAGCTCCATGTATTTGTTACGAATGCAAATACATGGAGCTTGTTCATTTCTCCAGACCATGGTGGGTCCTGTTGTTTGGAGGCTAGGTATTTCGGAGAACTATGAAAACATACACGTAAATTGAATGCTAAGTACCATCGAAATCAAGCACAAGCTTGATACCTAGCTTATATACGGTTAGCCGGGTAGTTGATGAGATCAGCTGATCGCTGAGGGCTAATGCAGAGCTTTTGCTTTGTCTGTCGCAAGGGAGTACAACATAGCCTGTCTTTTAAAATGCATGAAAAACGTCATGTAAAAGCACAATAACTGTCACAAATTCACTGAACAACGGAAATGCTGTGCACGACGTCGGCGGCGCGTAAAATTATGTTCGACGATCACAAGTACAAGTTCATCAGCGTAATCGGCATAGGCACAAATTCAGTCACCAGTCAGTAACACGTAGAGCCCGAATACAAATTATCAAGATTTAGGTCCCCGTCAACGACGTAGTTCCGTAGTCAGCTGACGTAGTTCGTTAACTACGTCAACGAAAGGTCCTCATAGCAAGCGAGAAGAACCCAACACCATATGGTGAGACTCCCAAACGATCAGAAGTACCCTGGCAGGCTAACATATAAGGTCGGACAGAGCACATGACCCTCTGAGATAAGGGAAATAACCCAGCATAAGTGTACATAAAATAATGCCCCTGTGTGATCAAGAGTGCCCAGGCAAGTCAACAGAGCAAAGGACAAGCAAAGGGTCCTCAGCAAATAAGCTCAAAAGGGAAAGAGGCATAGACCAATGAAGGGGCCCTTGAGCATCGAGTGCCTCGGTGCATTATCTTATATGGGCCCCAGCAATAGCACGGGGTTCCCCAAGCAAGTGGAAAGAACCCGATACCAATATGAAGGGCCCCTGAGCAGCCGAACGTACCCCGGCATATGGGGCCCCGGGAGCAGCGGCGGGGCGGGAGAGGCCGCCTACCCCGCGTGCACAGCGCTCCCCGTCGAGACCGTGCCGCCCGCCACGTCTCGGGCCGCGGCGCCGCCCGGCGCGCATGTGCCCAGTCCGCCGGTGAGCCCTGGGGCGCGACCGCGTCCAGGCCGGACACGAGGCGTCCAGGTAATTTATAGCAAGCATGCTCCACTGTGTGCATCCCGTGATCATGGGTGGGATGCCATGTTAACTGTGTCATCTGTTAACAAAAGAGGGATATAGCGGCAAGAGTCAAGGATGCTTTTGTGGTGTCATTTAGCGACAGGAACAGGGGCGGATCCAGGGGGGGGGGGGGGCACGGGGCCTTGGCCCTCTCTTGGCCCTCAAAAGGAACTGTGTATCTCTGGACTTCCATGCGACCAAACACAGTTGTAGGTGAAGTGAAGGACCTTTGAGAAGTTCAAAAAATTATTTAATGATTGGAAAAGTCGTGAACTGGAGACTTAAAGCCCCATTACATTGTCTAAGGGCCCCATGCTGTTTCCGAGGACCTATAGGCCCACTCGCACGATGGCTCCGATTGTTAAGGAGCATTCCACGTTGCCCTTCATTTCTTTGCATTTGCTCGGAGGGCCCTGCGTTGTTGTTGGGCCCTTCCTGTTGGCGTGCCGGGGACTCTTGTCAATCACGGGCCATTCCACGGGTTCTTTCCGTTCGCTAGAAAGGCTCTGTGAGCTATAGCCGGGGTATTCTCGGTTGCTCAGGGGCCCTTTACGTGGGTTTCGGTTAGCCTACCGTCACACTTGCGACTCATGGGCCCCCTACGTTGGTCTAGAGCG